TATTTAGATTATGAAGAAAAGAATGTAATGTGAATAGGAATACGTTATAGTAATAATGGAAAAAACAGCAGTCACTGGAGCAAAGTAAAAAAATTAAATATAGAATTCTCGTCTCAAAAATAAATGAATTGTATCTGACAATCAAAATTTGCGGCCAGCAAGCTCAGGCAACTTGCTTAAAGGGATAGATTAGTAGAATTTTCGAGTATGATAGCAGACTAAACAGCCCCTAACAACCCCCTAGCTAAGTTGACGAACCTGCCTAGTTTGTCTATCTCCAAAAAAAGTAAAGCCTCCAATTAGGAGGAACTCTATAATAATGAGTACCCCACAATAGCTGGAAGGAGACAAGTTATAGTAATTCTGGAATAGAGAAAAAAGTAGATAACAGTGTGCAATATAGCAAAAAGATCCTACTTCTAAAATCGTATAAAAAACTGTAGATGAATATTTTTCTTAAATATATCGTAAGCTTAAAAGTTAGATGACCTAAAGTGCAATTTACTCGAAGAGACACGCAATGCATGCGAAGGAGTGGAAAAATCCATACTGAGAGGGCGACCAATATTTTAGACAAAGTACATGCTAGACAGAAAAAGGTTGGAAAAAAAAGCACCTTTAATGGATTTAGATTAAGCAGAATACGCTCAATTGGTTCTTGATGGCAAAGAAGAAGGGGCTAAAGGAAACTTAGTAGACGCAAAGTCTGATGAAGATAGTGGTTTGATGCAGGGGAGAACAAGGCAGACAAAAGATTTTTCCAGAATAAAGTGAAAGAGAAAGCTGGATGGCTTAGGGCGCTAACTGCTACTTAATACAATTTTAAATATTTTATCTAGGTGGTGGTGGCTCAAAGAGTCAGATCTCATATTTATATTAATAGGATGACTGATTGTAGTTCAGATCACAGTCTCACTTGATTCGATTACTTCACCTGAAAACAAAACGTTTCAGAGACCAAATCAATAAAAAATGGAGATAAAAATTAATTTTCCTAAGCTCCGATAAGGAATTTTGGTTTATTCTGTTTGAAGTTAAAAGGGCAAGAGTAACTTAGACAAAAGGCATATTTGATTAAAGCCCAAAATGTTCATTAAGATTTTTTAAAAATATTTTAATCGTATTTAGCTTGTATTTTATAGGTAGAGATAAGTTAATATGTACCAGATAACTTAGTATACATGTATCAGGAAATTATCTTACAACCTAGTGTCAATAAGACATCCTTTGATTGTTCAGGCAACCAGGAGATCCTTGCCACAATAAAGTTGCAAAACCTAGAATTGAATCCCTTCCTTTAAAGGTTTTATAAGGGGAAAAAGGATGGAGATGTATAGTTTTCACAAAAGGAAAAGCAACTGCAAATTAACACAATGGCATTTTAGCAAAAATAAAATCACTATATAGTACTAGTAAAAGCATATAAAGTTAGTTATACTCGTGCCTTGACAGGTATGCTACATCTAGCATAGGCAGAAATAAGGTCTCAAGAGTGATAGATAAAACAAGTACATAATATTTACCAGAAAATTGATTAAATTGTGCTGTAGCCAGGTCAGCATCCAAATGACCACTCAGACTGACCGAGCCGGAGCCTGAATCAACTTGGAATAAGTTTGGATCGCCGTCCGTAAGGCTGTAGTTAATCCGTGAAAAAGCGCTACTGGAATCGTAGTCAGTGGATATTAAACGGGCAATCAAAGAACCGGATTCGAGGTCTTCGGGAATAAAAACATGACGCATCGGCTACAAGCACATGATATCAAGAGAATCAGTAAGAAGATATAATGATGGAATTATATTAATGGATAGATTGAAGGGTAAAACGGATTTTGTAAATTATGTGATCAGATAAGTGGACGCATTAACAAAAGACCGATTTTATGCATTTCTGTCAGGCAATAAAAATATTGTATAATGAAGTCTCTTGACTGAGAGAAGACCACCTCGGAAGAAAAGCTGGGAAAGTAAACCACTCGAATAAGTTCTAACTCTAGGCAGGCAGTCAATGAATGAGCCTGTTTACATTAGAGCAAAGGAAGAAGTAGGTAGAACTGTATGTGAAAAAAATACTCTATAAAATT